AGATGACCAACCTCGATTCCAGGTGGCAGATAATGAGTAGTTTTTGGCAAGGATCCGCCTGGCCAGAGAAGGATGCTTGAGAATCTGGGATTTACACAGCTGTATCAGACTGTCCACAATGACTGGGCTTGGAGAAAAGAAGAGACATTTGTAGACTTAAAACAACAGGTTGGCTCCATGATCCATCATTTGGAAATCTTAATTACTCAAAGGAAACATACCAGTAGGTCTCTCTCTTGGGGATGTCCTCAGTGGAGTGCCAGAGACGGGCATGAGAGATGATGTTTAGAACCTGCTCATCTTGGTTCTCTATGTGGTTCCTCGGATCGTCCACAAGCCTAAGCACTTTCTCAGGAAGTCCTTCTATTAACTTGCTCTTGGTCAGCCAGAGGGCCTGCTTCACACCTTTAGGGTAATCAGCACAAAACAATGAAATGAGAAATGGGTTCAGGAAGAGCTAATCATGTCTGCTAGGCAGCATAATGGAGAAAAAGCTGCCTTAATAGAGGGATGGATTTGTCTTGGGAAACTCGAGGGGAAAGAATTGAAAGTGAAGAGTAGAAGCTAGGGGAGCCAGATTTCACCTCAACATCTGGAATGACCATCTACTTCAAGATGGTCAACAGCTGACTGAAGTACTGAGTACTTGCCATGGGAGAAATTCAAACAGTGGCTAGAAAGCTGATGTCATATGGCTGAATCCCGTTAGCAGCAGTGAGATCCAAGGCTATGGTACTACATTAACACATGCCAACCCTTCACTTAAGACCCCTCTGTTGCCGGTCATGGTGGCACATGCCTATAATAATCTCAGTGGCTCAGGAGACTGAGGGAGGAGGACTCAAGCTTGAGGCCAGCTTCCACAACTTAGTGAGGCCAGCCTCCACAACTTAGTGAGATCCTGTCCTAAAATAAAAAATAAAAAGGCTGGGTGTGTAGTTCAGTGGTTGAACTTCTGGGTTCAATCTCTGGTTTAAAAAAAAAAAAAAAAAATCCCTGCTGTTAATTTATACCCCACCCCTGACACATATATCAGGTGTCAATAAAATAAATAATTTTATTCTATATCTACCAAACATACCTTATTTATTAGGTATGACCCCAGGAATAAATCCATGCAACCTTATCAAGGGAAAGTGTGGACTTTCAAGGGAAAGTAGCTTTTGGAAAAAATGAGAATAATTTTAGATTTTCATGAGTAATTTAAGGAGCCCTGAATTTGGGATAACTTAAGCAGAGAACTTTTCACATCTTGTTTAAGTTAATCCTGATATTCTGTAATGAGCTATTTTCTTTTTTCCAGTACTGGGGACTGAAACCTGGGAGCACTTTACCATGAGCTACACCCCAGTCCTTTTTATTTTTTGAGACAAGATCTCACTAAATTGCCAAGACTGGTCTTGAACTTGTAATTTTCCTGTCCCAGTTTCCCAAGGAGCTGGGATTACACGCATGTGCCACCATGCCTGGCTCAGATGAGCATAATCTTAACTTCTCAAGTACTGCTAATGCATTAATCCACTGGGTTTCATTACCAGAGTCACTCAAGGGTACCAAGTCTTGTGATACCCTTCATAGCACTTTGTAAGGACACTGGAAGTGTTTAATAGCTGGAAAATAAGCTTGCAGGAATAGGATGGGGCAGCTTAAGAGGCGGGCCCATTGACTTGCTCTAATCTAAGGATTTTTTTTTTTTTTTTTAAACTGATGTAGGCCCCAATGTCTGCCAGGGCTCTTTCTTTCCCAATTACCTCTTGGAAAATACTGCTCCCACTTGTCTCAAGCATTTTGTTTTTAGGATCTGTCCTATTCCTATACTGATTTGAGTGGGAAGACTAGGAATGAAGAAAGGGACTCTCAACCAACAGTCACCTCCTCACCCCACAAATGGACTCTAGGTGTTTCTGTGTGGTGTTAGAGATTGAACATTCAGAATGCTAGGCAAGGGCTCAACCTCTGACCTACATCTTCAGCCCTTAAATCTGTTCTTAGTGAAAGTGACAGAGGAGCTGAAATGGGTAGAAGATTTTCAAGTTCAGATTCTCTCCTTGAAAACATTTTGCCTCTGACTTTTGACAAAGGACACTGACCTAGGAAAGCGGAACTGGGGATCTGCCTTCACCATTAATCTACAGTGCACCTGTGAGAAAATCACTTCCTTTCTGTTACAATTAGTAATTCTGTGAAATGAGGTCACAGGCCTGGAGATTAAACACTTTCTGATTTCTTTCCACTAGAAACTCCCTCCAGCTATTTCTTAAAAGTACAGTTATCTTCAGAATGTCAGAGCTAGAGGGGTCAGTGTGGACTGTCTAGTCGTCACCATTCATTTCACAGGAACTGGAGGCTCAGGAAGACCAGCCACTTGCCTGAGGTCATAGAGTTATAGACAGAGCTTGGTTTAGAAACCATGTCTTTTCACTTTAACAGTAAAACTCATTATTCCATCACATAAGCATAGCTCTATTAATCCTGAAAACTTCCAGAAGATGGGAATCATTATGGTTCCATATTTCAGATGAAGAAACCAAAACCCGCAGGGCTTCAATGTTTCATCCAAAGCCACAGAAGTTCGGGGGTCAGAGCTGCACAGAGGAACTAGGCCCCCTCCCGCCTGTCCTGGGTCCTCACCCTCGACTAGACGGCAACGCTCGTGGAATATGTAGCAAGCCTGGTCCTTGTACAGTGCATGCTCGTGAAGCGGGATCGAGGGGCGGAACTTTGGGTGCGTCCAGCCAGGATCCCAGGGCGGGAAGACCGGCCGCGCGAGCCCCGGCATGAAGTGCATCTTCCCCGCGTAGGTGATGGGCTCCAGTCCAGGGATCTCGTATACCCTGTCCAGGGGAGGAGGCGGGGGCTTCCGCGTGGAGCGTACGCCCCATTCGTAGGCCCCACGTCTTGGAGCGCCGCAGCCTCCAAGGCCGAGTCGCCCAGAACCAGCAAGCACCTGCTTTGCGGGCCCAGACGCCAACGCCATACCCTGGTCACCTAAAGACCTCCACCTGGACGCCGCCATCTTTCCCCGCGCAGGGTCTGCCGGGAGCTCAGGGGGCGAACGCCGAGACTCATTTTGTGAACGGCAGCCACTTCAACCAATCACAGTCAGGAATATCCGTGTCTTGCCCCGCCCCACAGGCCGTTTTCACTATCTCATAGGTGGTTCCTGAAAAGAGCTCCCCGCCTTTGGGCGGGGGTGGGAATCTGGTACATCCTCACGTGAGGGGACTTGCGGGAACGTAGGTGAGTGCTGGTGATGTAGTAAAGGGACTGGGGCAGGAGGAGAAGAGCGCCAGGACCTCAGAACCGAATTAGAACCTCCTTGACTAATTACGAGCAGCTGGAGCTTGGCCATAGCTCCTATACCCCTCCCTGTCAAAATGGGGATAGAAATGCCTGAGCTAGCGCCCGGCACGTAGTGGGTGCCTGGAAAAGTTTCCTTTCCTTTCCGCCCACTTCTCACTGCTGCGGGACCTTTAGTCCCCATCCTCCCTCCCCTGTGCCTGAGGGTGGCCCGGTCCACCACACCCGCTCCACATCCCACGACTGGAGTGAAGCTCTTCCCATACGCCGCCGAAAGCGAGTTAACTTTCCTCCGTTCTGGGGCTTTCTCTTTCGCCTCTTAGAGGCAGGGCCACAGCGGTGGAAATGTTCCTTTGCTCTTTGCTCCCTATTTATGTTATTTACAAATGCCTGACGCAGCAGGCGCCGTGCTAAGCACCAGTTTGGCATTGGTGAATAAAACGTGAGAGTCAAAAGAGTTTACAGTTTAGAAGGAGACACATGGCAGGTAGATAACGTATAGCGACACTTAACATCCTATCCCTTCTCCCTAGTTATTTTTCTGACTATTTTCTTCGTGTTTCCATTTTGGTTTTGTTTAGAGTAGTGCCTGGCACATAGTAAATGCATGTTTAATGACATACAAGACGCAAATACGGTGCATAATAGAAAGTAACAAGGGGAGAGGTTCAGGGAGGACCTCCTAGGGGCAACGACCTTTTAGCCAAGGCCTGAGGGTGGGGAAAGGCATCCAAGAAGAGACAACAACATCTGCCAAGGCCTGACTTAAAGATGGTGCCTTTTAGATCTAAAAAGGTAGAAGCAGAAAGGAATGGCGTGCAAGGTGTCTTTAGAGTTCACGATGAACACAGCCAACTTTTCTACCAGTTTCCAAAAAGCAGAGAATACAACTGTTAAACATGAAGAGGGTAGATTTAAGGCAGAAACTGATAATATGATAAGCCCATACACTGAATAGCAGTTTATAGTCAACAGAACTCTTACTTACCTCATTTTAGCTCCCCAAAGTGTAGGGAATAGGAGATTAGCACAAAGAAGAAACCACACCTCATTTATTCATAATACATACCTGGTACATGGCATGTAGTAAAAATGGATTCGATTCATGTAACACCATACTAGGTCTTAGAAAGATAAGGACCATGTTCTGCTCATCTATGTTGCATCCCAGCACCTACCACTGGGCCTAGCCCCCAATCTGTATGTGTAAAGTGAATAACCTCTCACAAGTTACTGGGAGCCTTCCATATGCCAGCTGTGCTTGGTGGGAGAATGTAGAAGGAATAAGACATTATTCTTGTACTGGTGAGGGTTCCAGCCCATAAAGCTTTCCTGAAGTAGAGCTCATGCACAGTAGAACAGGTTTTCTGAGGCTGAAATATTTAAAAAATTTATTTTACACAGAGGGACTGCTCTTCTAAAAGCAATGGTAGGGCTGTAGCTGTAGCCCAGTGGGTAGGTAGAGCACCTGCTAGCATTCACTAGGCCCTGGGTTCAATCCCCAGTATTGCAAAAATAAAATTAAAAGTGCCTTAAAACCGGTAGTGAATGTTATCACATCAGATAGCAGATTCTGTGTCCCCATCCTCAGGGTTTGCACAGAGCCTGGCACCTGCAGAATGGTGAGAATGTGAGGAATAGAGGAGACCAGAGTATAACCCCCATGTTTTCCTTCTCCCAGGCCAGCAAGGGAGGGGGAAGAGCACCTTGTTGTCCCTCCCAGGCTGCCCAAGCCCCACTGAGAATGGGTGAGAAAGAAGAGGACACTGAGGAAGCCTGGCTACAGCTGCGGCCTGTGGAGCCCTTGCCTTCCCAGTGCTGTGGCAGTGGCTGCTCACCCTGTGTGTTTGACCTCTACCACCGAGATCTGGCAAGGTGGGAGGCAGCCCGAGCCAGCAACGACAGGAGCCTTTTGAGTGGGAAGCAGTCACAGGTGAGAGGCTGTGCAGACTACTAGGCCAGGGTGGTGGAGTTTACTTGGCCTCACCCCTGCAAACCAGCTCTGGGAAGATGTGACTGGACAGCAAAAAAGAGTGCACATACAGAGAACAGACAGAGCCAGGGTCAAAGTCCAGGCCTGGAACAAACTTATTAGCAGCTGTGGGGTTTTCATCCTCTGAGCCTTAGTTTCACCGTATGTATAATGGGGATAAACATTTGTGATGTTTAGCACAGACTCTGACATTTATTTCATGTAACAAATATTTATTGAGTGCTTGTTACACATCAGGACCTATGAGCCATGAAAGATTTAAGAGGGAACTAAACAGATACAGTCCTTGCCCTTACAGAGCAAAATAGTTTACAATATATATGAAGTAAATAGGGAATGTTGTTCTTTCTTCTTATTTCATCCTTGCTTTTTTTAAATAGTAAAATTTTTCTTTTTGTAACACTTATGAATGTGTGTGTGTGTGTGTGTGTGTGTATATATATATATATATATATATATATATATATATATATATATATATCCGTTGTCCATTGTGGAGGAGAGATATCTTCCATTTCTGTGTCTTAATGTAATCGGGCCTCACCATCACTTTTCAGACAACTGTTCCCCATTGTTGGGTTCCAAACTGAACCAAATTTCAGTAATTTTTATGCTTGTTGTTCCTAAGCTATAGATCATACATCCTAAACAAATGCAGGTTTTTTTTCAACTCCAAAACATGACTTAATATCCATCCCTATTAAATGTTCCCTTGTAGTTCTGCCCCTGGAAGGTGGTGGTGGGGACCCGAGCTCTCTGTCTCTGCCAGTGACTGGGGAATGTTCATGACAGCTGTGCTTCTTCCTTCTCTCTGCCCTTCATCTCCACGTGGATCATTTCTGTACTCCTTTTTGGGTTGTTTTTCTTTTTTTCTTTTTGGTGCTGGGAATCAAACCCAGGGCCTCAATCATGCTAGGCAAAGACTCTAGCCCTGAGCTACCATTCTAGTCCCCCTTTCATTTTTTTCTGATGTTTGCTCAAATTTCATTTCTTAATTCTCAGTACCACCAGCCACCTTCTAGATGTACTTGCTTATGAGCATATTGTCCATGTCTCTTTGCTAAAATGTAAGTTCCATAGGAGTGGGGCTGTGTTTTGCTCACTGTTCTGTCTTCTGCCAGCAATTCCTGGCATTATAGTCAATAAACATTTGTTAAGCAAATGAGTGAGTTTATCCTAGGTCTACTGAGTACCGTGTCCTGTGTGTTAGGCACAAGGAAGTTGTTGATAAAGTAAAGATTCCAGGACACCAGCCCTCAGTAAACTCAGCTTGTAGAAAAGGGACCAAGGACCATAAGGATGTACAAAGTAAGAGCTGAGACCTGGTTAGGCCAGTTAATTGTGTGTCACTTTAGTTTTATCTGAATATGGGAATATTAATACTTCAGAGGTTATTATGAGGATTTCATGGGATAAATAAATAAACTACCTGGCACATGGTAGATGCTCAGTAAATAGTGATGTCATCACCTATCATAACAAATGGAAAGTTAAATGAAAGAAAGTTAATTTTGCCAATCTTGTAAAACAGTATATTTCAACCTAATAATAAATTTTATTTATTTAAATTTTTTTTTTATATCAAAAACTGAACTCAGAGGTGCTTAACCATGGAGCCTCATCTCCAGTCCTTTTTTATTTTTTATTTAAAGGCAGAGTCTTGCTAAGTTGCCCAGGGCCTCGCTAAGTTGCAGAGTCTGGCTTTTCACTTGCAATCCTCTTGCCTTAGCCTCCCAAGCTGCTGGGGTTACAAACATGTGCCACCAGGCCTGGCGTAAGTTTTATTTTAAAAAGTTTAATAGTCATAATAATAGAGATTTCTCATTTCCTTTACAATTAACATTGTGTAAGATATTTTTGTATTGTGATGGACATGGTAGTACATGCCTGTAATACTTTCTACTTCAGAGGCTGAGACAGGAAGATTGCAGGTTCAAGACCAGTCTAGGCAACTTAGTGAGATTTTGTTTCAAAATTAAAAAATTAAAAAAAATAAAAAGGGCTGACTTTACTCAGTGGTAGGGTGCTACTCGGTTCAGTCCTCAGTACAACAACAACAAAAAAGCTTTTATATTGTTATCTCATCTGATAACCATATGTTTATCAGGGATGAGTTGGTCCCTTTTTACACACCAGGAGACTGAGACCCAGAGGATCAAGTGATTTCCCTGGGACCCCACAGACGAGCAACAGCAGAACTGGAACTAACTCTAGTGCTCCTGACTCAGTCCAGTGCTCTTTCCAGAGCCCCAGGCAGCTGTGGCCTCATGGGGGATCTAGTAGGGTGGGAGAGGGCACAGTGGAGGAAAAGTCTTGGATACCAAGCCTGAGAGCATTAGTTCTGTGATGCTGTCAGCATTCCCATGAATAGTGGGAGTTCCACAGTTGGTGCTGCACTCTGATTTGGACAAGAGGGAGTCTCAGGTCAGCTGAGTAAGGTGTGGGTATTTTCCAGAAGAGAAAATTCTGAGTCATGGCATTCAAAGAAATCTTCCTGGAGGAGTTGATAATGGGGTTGGAATGGTAATGGCAGTAGGCTGAGTCCTAGAAGACATGAATTTGAGTCTTTGTTTATAGTGTGACTTTGGGCAAGTAAGCCACTACCTCTCAGGTCTCATTTTACCCATATATAATATAAGGATATTGGATTAAATCATCTTTAAAGTGCCTTTAACTTCTCAACTTTGCACATCTAGAACTTGACAGGTTTGAATGCTGAGCAGGTCTCATGCATTGAAGGTGTCTTGGAGAGAGGGCACAACTGGGGTAGCTAAAGACTCAGAGGTTAGAGACAGCAGGTGTTCTTTGGAAGAGGGAGAAAAGTCTGGCATCTGATGCATGGGAGATAAACTGAGGCTTGAAGGTTATTCACTGGACCCTTAAGTATAAGCTAAGGAACTTTCATTTGATCCTGGGACTGACGGAAACCATGGAAGGTTTAAGAGTAAGATGAGCTGAATATAAAATGCTCTCATATTTTTGGATAAGAGGGAAATAAGGTGGCACTACTCTGTGTTACACAGAAAACTTACCAACACAGCTCTCCTTGGAGAACATGGGAAGGATGCTTTTGTGTCCCTTGGGCCTAGCCTCTAGCTGTCAGGTCTTTTCCTGTTGCAGAGCTGCCCCTCCAAGCTGAGCCCAGAGACTTTCCTGGCCTTCCGCATCTGTGCCCTGGACAAACTCACTAAGGACACCTACCATGTTCGATTTGCTCTACCTGGGAACAGCCAACTCAGCCTGCACCCTGGGCAGCACCTCGTCCTACGGTACATTCAGGTCACGGGAGGACCAGAGCCTTGCTGCCTGCCTACCTTGTCCTAACTGGTGGCCTTAGGCAACTTGCCTGACCGCCCTTAAGCCTTCATTTGTCTTCTTCAAAATAGCAATATATGACTCAGATGTTCTTCAGATGGAACTAGAACTAGATAATGCATTATCATGAAAAATAATAATACAAGCACTTTAGCAGCACTTATTATCCAAGGCACAGTGTGTGCATTCGTATGTGTGAATTCACATAACCCTCACAAAGTCCTGTGTGAGTAGTTGCCACTATAATCCCCCACAGGAACCTGAATTCAGAGAGATTTAGGAACTTGGTCCAGGTCACACAGTTAGGAAATGTTGGAGCCAGGATTTGAAGACAAGCAATCTGGCTCTAGGGCCTATGATTTTAACCTATTATGGTTAACACCAGTTGACAGAAATGACACTGTCACTGAAAATAAACTTGCCCAATATCACATAGCTGAGAAGTCAATGGAGCCAGGATTCAAATCAAAACAGCCTGGCTCCTGAGTTATACTCTTAGCCACTTCTCTGAGGTTTGTCCTGACCTGCTTTAGTGCTCTACACCCACTTGGATTCCTGCCCCCACCTTTCCAGGGACAAGATCCTTTGGGATATCCAGGGATTGGTGTCAGCCAGGCAGTCAGTTCTATGAGTTTGGGGTTCATCAGAGAGATCTGGATTTGGGAGTCATCAGCCCATATCTGGATGGCATTTAGGAGCATATGTGTTTGTATGAAAAGAGGAAAGAGGATAGATTTGAACCCTGAAAATTCTGGAATTTATGGAACTGGCAAGAGAAAGAGGAGCTGGCAAAGGAGACATAAGGTGCAATCAGAGGATAAGGTGGGCACCAGGAGAGAGCTTATTGCTGATCAGACTCCAGGTATGTGTCTAGGTGCTTCGGACTTGGCCTGGCTGGCAGTCTTTGAGGCTCACTGTTCTAGGAGGCAGGAGAGCCCCAGGCAGGTCACAGCCTCATGCAACCCTTAATCCGTAAGCCAGGGATGCCCAGAACCCCTACCTCTAGACTGGCTTCTCTCCTCCATCCTCCTCACTATCCCAGTGACATTCCTAACGTATTCAACTGACCATGTCACTCCCTGTTCACTCTCTGATGCACCTCAGTACTTCCATGATAACATCCTAAGCCAAGGCCTCCAGCCTCCCTTCCCACCAAATTCTTCCCTGTCCCCCCCTCCACATGTGTTCCTTGTCTGAGCCTTGCCATCCCACGCCAGTTCCTGACTTGTCGACATTGTCCTGCCTCTAAGCTTTTGCCTGGGCTGCCCCATATGCCTGCAGTTACTTCTTTTCCTGTCCCTACTGTGATCTGTCAGTGGCCTGCTTATCCCTTAGTCCTCCAGGAGGTTTTTGGGGTTTTACAGATGAGAGCGATTGCTCCCTCTGTCAGCTTTACCTCTGTTGCAGCAGACATGCTGGCTCTTTGCATCTATGTCATCTCATATGTCTGTTCTTGTTTCCTCATTTGTTTCATAAGCATTTATTAAATATTTCTGTTTAGTGCCCTGCTTTTGATGCATCGAGACAGGGTCTTTTTAACCTTGCATACCTCAGAGAAGAACATTTTGCACATGACAAGCCTGGAGAAGAGTGCTTGGGTGCTCTTTAAAAGCTGTGAGGAGTAGTGGTGGGGAACCTGGCTTTGGAGTTGAGTTGCAGTTGAATTCTAGCTGTGCGATTGACTTCTCTAAGCATAGGATTCTGCATGTGGATATCATTTGAATGAAATGAAATAGCATGTATAATATGCTTGGTGCATAGTAGGCATTTAATACAACCTGGCTATTATTGTTACTCATGATTGCTATCCTGACCCCATGATAACATTGTAGAGAGGACTCGTGCAGGGGATAGGGCTTTGGACTAGTGTTCCTTTGAGAATCCTTCCAGTTTTGATACTCTGGGTGCATGATAGTGTTTCATAAATCTAAACAATTTTTTTAATCTTTATTATCACTACATAGTTGAGACGAGGTCAGGAAAAACCACAGCAGTGTCCCCAAAATTGCTTACATCATCAGTGTTTTTTTTTTTTTGTTTGTTTGTTTGTTTTTGTGTGTGTGTGTATCAAACCCAGGGCCTTGTGCATGCAAAGCAAGCACTCTACCAACTGAGCTATAAAACTAGCCCCATCATCAGTGCTTTTTTTTTTTTCAAATAATAGTCCATTGAATGGACATACCACATTTTTTATGCCTTTATTTTTATGTGGTGCTGAGGATCAAACCCTAGGTGAGTGCTCTACTGCTGAGCCACAATCTCAGCCCCATCATCAGTGCTTTTTGAAGCACTCTTCCACCTGTAATTCCAGTGGCCCCATAGTCAGGACATAGATGGCTGTCTCCATTTTGCAGAAGGGGCAGCTGGAATATTAAATTACTTTGCCTGTCACAACCACCATATGGCAGAGGATAAGTTCAGTGCTCTTTGTTTTGCTGTACCTTGCCTCTCAGTGAAATCTCTGGGGATATCTGGATTCCATCTTCAGATTCATCAGTCTGGCAGAGAAAGTTCTTTTTTTTTTTTTTTTTAAAAGAGAGAGAGGGAGGGGGAGTTTTTTTTTTTTATATTTATTTTTCAGTTTTCGGCAGACACAACATCTTTGTTTGTATGTGGTGCTGAGGATCGAACCCGGGCTGCACGCATGCCAGGCGAGCGCGCTACCGCTTGAGCCACATCCCCAGCCCAAGAGAAAGTTCTTGATAAGGGTTTGTTGAATGACTGGCTAAACCACCTGACTGTGTATTTCTCCTTCCTAGAGGGATAGTAGATGACTTGGAAATTCAGAGAGCCTACACGCCCATCAGCCCTGCCAATGCAAAAGGATACTTTGAAGTTTTAATCAAGGTGAGATGACTCTTTGGAGGATGCTCCTAAGATGTCATGAATTGGTACCTCCCTTGCCAGCTTGGTTGGGATCGAACAGTTTCCATCCAGTGTTCATGTGGGAAGAGGCTGACTTACAGGAACAGCAGGCCAGGTAAAGGGAGCCTTCTCCCCTCTCCTTTTCCTTGGGAAGGGGTCTGCTGGACGACTGACTGAGGGCATATTCTCTATAGATTTTAGGAGGAACTATTCTTTTTCACCTTTTCCTATCAGTGAAGAATGAGCACAGAACTGGGAAGTAGAGGAGAACCAAATCTCCACACTCACTGTGTGTTGGGCATTGGGGTTCAAAGGTATGTCAGACACGGTGACCACCCTCAAGGAACCAACCCTGAGACATGAGTGACAGATGCTGTTATCGAGGAGGCCCAGCCCAACTCAGGGCAGCTGGGGGTGCAGGGAAGGCAGGCCATGCTTCCTGGAAAAAACTGTGTTTAAGGAGCAGGGAGTGAGGGGAAATGTGTGAAGGAGTCTCTGCAGGCAGGATTTAGGGAAGTAAGTCATTCATCCCGGAACAGAAGAATGCGTGCCAAGGGAGGAGGATATGAGTTGAGAGAATCAGGAAAAAGGTGGGATGTGGAGGACTTTGTGAACTGAACTAACCTGACATCACCTCTGCGTAGGAGGTGAGCAGAGGCAGGGCCTTTGATACACTTGAAGTAGTATGAATTGGTGGTTGTGGGGAGTGGCATTGTAGGCTGATGGATGGATAACCAAATGTAGGGAGGTGGTGACACAGAGTAGGTCTTCTAGGAACTGTACCCTGTCCGAGTGACAGGAGGAGAGGGTGCTCATAGCGTAGTCAGGGCAAGTGGAGGAGTTGGTAGAGATGAGATGAGCAAGTGTGTCAGATGCAAAGTGCCCTGGAGACCCAAGGAGTGGGCAACAAATGTACAAGGAGTCATGGAGGTCCAGTATGCAGAAAAAATAATTAGATTGAACTACACGAAATGGCTGATACTCTGACATTTTTTACTTAGAAATAGCATTTCACAGTAGAGCTCTAGCCCATCATTCCCAGATGGAATCCTGGGGAACACCAATGTAGAAGGATAGCTTTCCCATCCTAATCTCCCTTTAAAACATGCATTATTATTCCTATTTCATTGATGAGCAAGCTGAAGCCCAGGGGAACCCAAGGTCCATAACTAATCAGTGCTGTGCGGGATGAGCCCTGCCCCTGACTCCAAGATGCCGGTGTTGTCTTCCCTCCCACTTCCCTGCCTGCCCTGCCTGCTTCAGAACTCAAATGTTTATTCCCTCACACATAATCCTGGATGGGATCCCTTCTGCACGCTGATGTTTGTCTGGGAGATTCTGCAAATCCTCTCCAAATGGCCTGCTTCCCTGCGCTGCTTGTCTGGGTGTGTTTCTGCTGAGAGGATAAGCCTAGAGACAGTTCTCCAGAGCAGCTGGATCCCTCCCAGCTGTAAGGCTGATTTTCTCCTTCGTTTGCTGGAAAGCCTCTCTTTAGAGAGGCACCTCATTATCCCTAAGCCGCTGGCTAGGAAAAGCCAGAAATGTCTTTGCAAATTGGGAAGGCAGCGGGGTTTTCCAGTTTGCCTTCCCTTGTAGAAAGGAGGGAGGCTGCACTTCTGAGACACCTGCAGGGTACGGGACACTGCTTCTGGCTCTTTGTTCTCAATTCAACCTTATAACGACAAGTAGATTATATTAGCCCCATTGTACAGATGAAGAAACTGAAGCTCAAAGGTCCTCAGGCAATATGACCCCAAGTAGAAGGATAGAAGCTCAGTGTCCATTTTGTTTTGCAGTGCATCTTGAGCATCTCCTCCAAACCAGTCCGTGTAGAGACTCAAAAGAATCTTTCACTTCTTCCTGGTACTGTCTATGGCATAGGGCCTCTGAGGCCACAGTTGGGGTTGTGTCTCCCCACCAGACTAGGGTCAGAAAACAAAGTATGCTCTAAGACCCAGTCTCCAGAAAGGCAGGAGCAAAACTTTGCCCTCCTTGGTGGTAGAGCTCAGAGGTAGAGCCCTTCCCTAACATGGAACACCCTAAGATCATCCCCAGCATTGCAAAAAAAAAAAAGGACTCTTCTTCTCAGACCTCTTCCAGGTGAACCCCCTGCCTTTTTTGGGGGGGGGGTATTAGGGGTTGAACCAAGGGTGCATAATCACTGTTCCACATCCCCAGCCCTTTTTTATATTTTATTTAGAGACAGTCATCTCCCCTGCAGTGCCAGCATGGTGCCTGGCACAGAGTGGGTGTCACCCAGGCAACATAGACTGCCCACCTCCCATGGAGGAATCCCTTCCACAACCTTCATTTTCTCACATATTCAGCACATGGTGTAGGGTAATTCAGACATTATAGGTCCCTTGTTTAGAACCTCAATAAGTTGCTGAGGCTGGCTTTGAGCTCACAATCTTCCTGCCTTAGCCTCCCAGCCAGTTGCTGGGATTACCAGCCAGCGTGACACCTCACCTGGCAGGACTTTCCCTTTGCTTATGCAGATGATAGCTGCAGAAGCAAAGGTGGTATCCAAGGTGGTTCTGGTGATGGAAAACATGTTTGGAGACCAAAGCCCAGTCTTTTCTTTAAGCCTGGCTGTACTCTCCTAGCATTTTATCCTTCTCATGGGAATTAGGTGTGTATCTGAGCTGTACATTCCTTCTAGATTGTGTGTGTGTGTGTGTGTGTGTGTGTGTGTGTGTGTATTGCTAGTCATTGAACCCAGGGCCTCCTGTGTGCTGGGCAAGTGCTTTACCACTAAGCTACACCCCCAGCTCCAGATTGTTTACTCTTAAGGGGAGGGCCTGAATTTGGATTGACTGATTAATTAATTCATTGAGATATTAAGTCCTTTCTATGGTTCAGACACTGGTTGCCTTCATGGAGCTTAAGGTCCAGTTGTCTCCCCTGCAATCCCAGCATGGTGCCTGGCACAGAGTGGGTGGCACCCAGGCAACATAGACTGCCCACTTCCCATGGAGGAATCCCTTCCACAACCTTCATTTTCTCATATATTCAGCACATGGTGTAGGATAATTCAGACATTGCAGATGTATGGCCTGCAAACCGGATCCAGCCCAAAATATATTTGATTTTGGCCTATATAGTGTTTTAAATTTTTATTAATTACTGTCATTTTAAAATGGGAGACTATAAATAAAAATACAGATTTGCTGCCTGTTTTAGATAATCAGAAGATTTGGCATCATCAGTTCCACAAACTATAGCTTGGTACCTGCAAAGTGGTCCTCCCTAGAAGGAACACGATCTCACCAATATATCACAGTCCCCACCACTCCCTACTGCTCCCTATAACTGAAATTGTTAACAATTGGTTGTGGGTCCCTGTGGGCATTTGAGTTGAGATCTTTGGTGAAGGCTACAGTCCTGTGGATTTGTATCCCAGCCTTGCCATCTCCCTGTGTGGGAACTTATGGGCCTCATCTGAACATCAGGGATGACAGTACCAACCTGTAGGTGCAGAGGTGGATTAGATGCGAGAACATATGTAAAGCCCTCAGCATGCAGGAAGAGCTCCACACTAATGACAAATGTGGTTTGTGTTGGCAGCATATGCCTTTCCCACTGAGTTCTCCCTGTGTTTGCTTTCAGTGCTATCAGACAGGGCTGATGTCCCGGTGTGTCAAGTCCTGGAGAGTGGGAGACACAGCTTTTTGGCGAGGACCTTTTGGAAACTTCTTCTATAAACCAAATCAGGTCAGTGCCAGCACCCTAAGTGTTTAGGAGATGCCCCTGGCTTACCTCCAGGGCTGTGATTCTCATATTTTAGGCCATAGAACCTCACTGTGCCTTTGTTCATAAGCTTAAACTCAATCCTGAGAGTATCCTTGGAGTTGAGAAAGGGAGGAGATAGAATAGTGGAATAGACACTAATAAACAAAACCACCTGCTGTGCTCCAAGACTATCTGTGGCTGCCCATTGCTCAGAAAACCAGACTCATTTACTTGGTGTTTAGGAGTCCGTGCCACATAACCGTCAGGTGCTGTTCTGTGCATTCCACTCATAGGGCCAAATATAGCCATGGCTCCCTGCTTAGGAGCCCACTGCTTCCCAGCTCAGAAGGCTATTGCCCTCGTCTTCATGGCATGTTACTTCCTTGATTTTCCCAGGAATACTTAGCAATTCCTCTTCAGTTGGTGCATATTTGAAGAGCAGTTTGGCAGTATATAACAAGAGTCTTAAGAATCTTTAAATCCTTTGACCCAGTAATTTCATGTCTAGAAGTCTTTTGTGTGGAAAGAATCCAAAATGCTGACTACTTTGCATGTATTCATGTTTTTTTTTTGTGTGTGTGTAATAACAAAAAATTGGAGATAATTGAATATCCAACATTAGAGGTACAGTTAAATATTCTGGGTTCCAGTATACAAATATGCAGGCACTTGATAGAGTATTATCTTGGGTTTTAAAACATAATTTGTTTATAAATGATACATGCTGGGCTGGGGATATAGCTCAATTGGTAGAGTGCTTGCCTTGCATGCACAAGGCCCTGGGTTCAATCCCCAGCACCACAAAATAATAATAAATAAATAAATAAATAATGCATGCTTATGCTACAAGATCAAGTAATAAACATTAGGTAAAAAACTGAATATATACCAGGTTGAGAAACTAACTGAAAAGGCACAGAAAAAATATGAAAGGAAAATACAATGTAATATGCTAAACTCTGAATGGTAGAATTATGGGTGATTTTTATTTTCTTCATTTATTATATGTTCCAAAATTATACATTCTAAATTTTCTGCGATGATCACCTATTACCTTTATAATTAGGAAAACAAAGCAAAACAAAAACAAATGGAAAAGAATGAATCATGCTTACCTCGTCTTTCTTTTTGTTTAATTTTAAAATAGCATTTATTGTTTTTTTTTTCTTTATTATAAATGCAGTACATATTCATTATCCAGAAAAAAGAGCTTTAGCTATATAGAGGCAAAAACAAGAAAACAACAAACACCTGCAGGCCATTTCTTTAGATACCAGGTTGCTACCTTGATGTGTATTCTTCCAAATCCTCTTTCATGAGTGGGTATGTTGGCATAGGTACATACACAGGTATGCATACTGAGCACTTGCACATATGTATGTATTATAATGCTATCAGGGACAGGGTGTAGCTCAGTGGGAGAGCACTTGCCTAGCATCCACGAGGCCCTGGATTCCATCCCCAGCACCATAAAAAAAGGAAAATAAATAAATAATACCATCAGACACATATTTGGCACCTTCAGTGTACATACTCTGACCTTAGCACTTGATATATGTTAACTCAGTTCCCACAACAGTTTTCAGGTACTTCTGTCTCCAGTTTACACATGCATGTGTACACGTTAGTGCTCTTTCACAGGACTCCCCAGTACTAACTGCACTCAACCCTGTGTTTTAGCTCAGTGTGTCCCGGCCCCCCAGTCCCTGAGAGCAGGGCAAGGAAATTGTTCCTATTTCTTCCTTGCCTAGGGTAGACACCAGATAAAAAAGTTTGTCTTGACCACTTTTTCCAGGAGGGAACCTTCTGATGCAATGTTGCTATCCTTTATATCCATCAAACACTCAAAAGCCCCTGCATTTATTTATTTATTTAATATTTATTTTTTAGTTCTTGGCGGACACAACATCTTTGTTTGTATGTGGTGCTGAGGATCGAACCCGGGCCGCACACATGCCAGGCGAGCACGCTACCGCTTGAGCCACATCCCCAGCCCCCCTGCATTTATTAATCTTTTTTTTTTCCCAGCACTGATGGTTGAACCCAGGACCTGGTGCATAGTAGCACTCTTGTCACTGAGCTACACCTCCAGTGCTAGCCCCTGCATTTCTCATCTGTGAGGATATAGGGCCCAGTAGTGAGGGAAAGGCGATATTGTCTCAAACATTCCTATTGGCCACTGGAAGCCTTGATCAGGGCTGGTTTTTCTCCCACGAGAATGCCTGGGTGCTGCTCCCCTCTTGCCAGCCTGCTTTGCTTCTCTGCACTTGTCTCATTACAGACAGATATTATATCAGCCCTGAGGCTGACACCCAAGCATGAGTGTGCTCATGCAATAGACAGAATTGTTTACCCAGGCTCCTGCCCATGCTGGACTCCAGGGACCAGAGGTAAATCAGACAAGGCCTCTGTCCTCCCACTTAGTCTGATGGAGGAGACAAGCACACAAACAGATGACAACAGTATGCCTCTGTTATATCAAGGGAGGCACAGCAAGCTATGAAAACACAAAGGAAGACCCCCTTCCCTGGTCCTGGCTGGGAGAGGCTTCCCAGAAGACAGCCTGAACATGGAGAAGTTCAGGGTGGGTTGAGGCAGGCTGAAGACATGGAGATGGGAGGTTGCATGAACAAGGACAGCAGGACATGGCCCCACAACAGCAGGTAGGAGGGTATCCTGAGCCTAGCAAAGGGAAGCAGTCTAATTGGATTAAACCTCAGCTCCTCACCAGGCACTTTATGTCATCTCTTATGAGCCTCAAAACACTTTTTGAGATAGGTGTCATTATGAGGAAGTGCAATTGTGTGTGTGTGTGTGTGTGTGTGTGTGTGTGTGTTATTGGGAATTGAGCCCAGGTATGCTCTACCACTGAGTTGCATCCCCAGCCCTTTTAATTTTTTATTTTGACACAGGGTCTCAGTAAGTTGTTGAGGCTGGCCTCAAACTTATGATTCTCCTACATGAGTTTCCCGAGTATCTGTGATTATAGATATGCACCACCACCCTGGCTTATTTTTTAAATTTTTTTTTTTTACCAATTAAGAAACTGAGGCCCAGATTGATTTAAAAAAAAAATGCCCAGATCATATGGTTTGGTATTTCTACACAGAGGCCTAATCTCTAGAATGAGGGAAGTGAATACTTCTCTGCATGGGGGTCAGGCACTAGCTTTTGATGCACTCATCTTAAGAAGGCTTGCCCCTCTTTAAGAGATCTAGAGCCAGGAAATGAGTTTAGTGAGAGGAATTGAGGGAACTAGGCCTCTTGAGCAGGAACTTACCTTGATTGCATGACTCTTTTGGACCAATGCTGTGTTAGACACTTGCGTATATTGTCGCATTTAGTCTAGAGAAGGGTAGGCTCTGGGGTCCAAGATGGGGCCCAGAGATATCTTCAAGGCTGCCTAGGGACAAAGGAAGTAGCCCAGAGAATAGTGCTGTGATGGAGTTGGGAGTGGGCAAGGCTTTGGAGGGAGCAGGTTTCAGCTCAGCGTGAGGTGGAGAGATCTCCCTAGCAGGGGCAGTTGGCCTATGATGGAGCAAGCTGATTTGGGAGGCAGTGAGTTCCATGGCAGCAGAAGCTGTGAGCAGAGTCCTTGTGGCAATGCTTTAGAAGTCAAACAAGCCCGGGTTCAGGTTGGACTACACTGCTATGTTCCCTTTCAGCCTCAAGACTCCTTAATCTCTGTTATACATACCTCATATGCCTTTCATAAGCCAGGATGACTTCCTGAAGGAGAAGAGAGGGGGCATAGATGGGTGGAAACCCAGAAAGAGCACTGCTTCTGGTTCAAGCAAAACCAAGAAAAGGCCCATAAGCAGGACAGGTGGGATGAGACCCTCAATCCACCTGTCATGCCCATTCTACTCCCCAGTATGGTGAGCTCCTCATGCTGGCTGCAGGCACAGGTCTGGCTCCCATGGTGCCCATCCTGCAGAGCATCACAGACAATGAAGATGATGAGACCTTCGTCACCCTGGTCTGCTGCTTCAAGACCTTTGAGAGCATCTATCTGAAAACCTTCCTCCAGGAGCAGGCCTGTTTCTGGAATGTCCGCACCTTCTTCATACTCAGCCAGGTAAGCCCAGGGAGGTGACTTCCCTCCCTGAGACTCTGCAGTCACCTTGCATCCATCCCAAGGACCAACCTCTTTGCGCCACGTTGCACTAATAATCCCTGTCACTGGTAGTATACCCACAGGCTCCTGGCACAGAAGGCGGGTATTACTATGGTCTCTTTTTTTTTTTGCACTAGGGATTGAACCAGGAACACTTCACCACTAAACTACATCCCCAGTTCTTTTTATTACTTTACCACTGAGCTACATCCCCAGTCCTTTACAGTTTTAAAATTTTGAGACAGTCTCACTAAGTTGCTGAAGGTCTTGCTAAATTGCTGAGGCTGACCTCAAACTTATAATCCTCCTGCCTCTGCCTCCTGAGTTGTTGCAGTTATAGGTGTGTACCCCTGTGCCCAGCTCTCACCATGTTCTTATGCAGAATGTAAACAGAACTCATCAGCGAAAGACAGTTGTGTCACACTGTAGACAGGATTGAGCCAGGATTTGAGCCCAGGACCGACTCCTTCCCAAGCTCTAGCTCCTCCCACCATCCTTTGCTGCCTCCCCCACCCTCTGGCATCACCAGCTGTGTGACCTGGGACCAGCCGTGGAGTCAGGGCAGGCTCGATGTATTCAGTTCCTTGGGACCAGGACCACATGTTTGGGTCAGCACTGTTTGTTCAGGGATTAATGTAGTGCCAGGCACAGAGTAGAGACTGTGTCAGCAACTGATGGTCCAAACTGGATCCAGGTTCCCTCCATTTAGAAGGTTCCCCATCACCTCAGTTCATCTGCTCATGAGACTCCCCAAGCTGCAGATTCTTTATCTGTAAGTCACACCGCCTTCTGATACTGCCTCCCTCCGGTTCCCTATACCCTTCATTCACTCTAGTGACCCTTCTTGGATCCTCCCCACCATAGAAGGAGGACCGTCTTTGCGCTTTATCTCAAGCCAGGTCCTCAGCTGCCTTTGTTCTTCTGCCTTCCTTGGTCTATAGATTTAATTCTCCTTGCACCTGCTGGCTTGAGGGTCCCTCCTGGGGCCTCCCAGCATTCCTTTTTGCTTATGGTCAGTCTTCTTGCCCTGTACTGTGGACACCCCTCTCATTAATTTCCTCTTTGAGGCATCTGTCACTTAGCTGATCCTCAGCACTGTGGTCAGGTGGGTGAGGGTTGGATTAGGAAACTGAATTTCCCTTCCTCAAACCAGAGTTTCTGAGCTCCCCAGGAGCCAGGGTCTGTGGCCTGTCCATGGGGCAGAGTGCTCAGTGGTAAGAACATCAAGAGGGTCATGCTTGGTGAACATTAGAAGCAGCAGGAAGTACCCAGGCAGGGCACAAAGCCAGAGGCTAGTGTGCAGCCTGAGGGAGTGGGTGAAGGAAGGCCATGGTGCCCCTGCCCAGGATAGTGGGAGTGGGGCAGGAGGGTGGTAGCCACCTTGGATGCTGACCAGCTCTCCTGTCCTCTGTCCCCCACCCACATGCCTACAAAATTCCAGGACACAAAAGTGAAGATGACCCACTCCCTGCCCTGTAGGCGCTCAACTGTGCACAGAGAGATGGCACAAGGACAGGACAGCTGATAAGGGTTCCCCCTCCTTGCGCACTTTCTCTGCCTGGTATCATTTGAAGCACTGTGTGTAGGAACTAATTTAATCTCCACAGAGTCTCATGGGGCTTGTACTGCCATGATGCCCCTTTTAAGATATAGAAATTGAGGCAAAAATGATTAAGAACAAAATAACCCAGCCAGCTGGTAGAGAGCTGGGATGCTGGGACAGGCCAAGTGGTCCTGCTCAGTGGCCTTTCTCTTTGTGCTCATCACTGTAAGATAGCACAGCACAAGATGCTGAGAGGCAAGGATGGTCAGGATGCTAATGGCCAGCAGGCAGAATTGGGAGGGCTTTGTGGAGCAGTTGACCTTAGGGCTTTGATGTTGCAGAGGCCTGGGGTTGGGCAGGGAAGTGGGCTGCCCATTGATGGAGGGGCAGGTAAAAGGGGCTGAGGATGATGGCTCTGCCCCTTCATACTCCCTCGAGGGCTCCTACTCCCCTAACTGGGCCCTGGAAATTGTGTCCTTCGGGGTCTCCCACTCCAGTTACTCCCTGCCAATTTGTTGTTTATTCTGCAGCCTAAATGACAGATTTGATGGACTACCACTTTGCTCTAGCTCTTTCCTGGCTCCCCACTGCCGTTAGGACAGTGTCTAAACTCAGTAGCCCTGGCAGAATGTACAGTTTTGCCTCCTGGCCCAGCCTCCCTGTGTGCTGTGTCCTGGTGTCACTGGTCTGCTCAGTGGTGCAAGTGAGCTCTGCTTTCCTGGCTGCTAGGCCTTTGCTCAAGCTGTGTCCTCTGCCAGGGGAGCTGTCCCCCTCCCTTTCTTAACACCTGCTTACCCTTCGCATCCTGCTGAGGGGAGCTCATCCTGGATGTTTGCCCAGAGCCCCTGGGTGGTGCTGGTGTTCTGCTGTTACAGCCCCACTCTCCTCCTCTACTTGCCACACCATCATTGCTTACAGGCCCCTCCTGACCTGAGCAGCAGCCAGACCCAGTGCACTTTGGGGTGCACAGTTAGGGTGGCGGCAGGCAAAGCCAACTGGCCTGAGGGAACTGAGCATTGGGAAGGACAAGTGAAGCCAGCAGGCCCTACCAGGCCCTGCCCTTGAGGCCCCTTAGGATGAGTCAGACCGTGGAGGGAGTATAGGCTCAGACTGTGAAGGGAGTGTGGGAGGATTCACATCATCAGGAGGACTCCTTCACTCTCCAGTGCAAGAGGGATTTTGGGGTCAGATAAGCTCTGTGAGGTAGGGCTCCAAGGCCCTGTGAGCAAACTTGATGCTAGAAGCCTCAGCATCCAGGGCTTCTACAAGGTTTCACCCTCTGTGGTTTGCTGGACCAGGGTTTTCCACAGCCTGTGTCCTCATCCATAGCTCAGAGAGGTCAGTCACACAGGAAATGACGGAGCAGCTAAGATTCCAACTCGAACCCCCTCTCTCCATCCTCTCTGGCCCCAGGAACTAGCAGCTGGCCTTCATAGGTCTCCAGAGTGTCAGTCCTGCCCTGGGCTTAGTTGTGTGCTGATGATATGGTTTCTTCTCTTTATTAAAGTTCTTCAAACTGTGTACACCTAATGATTTGTACACTTCTCCATGTGTAAGTTATATTTCAATAAAATGTTTACTTAAAATAGAAAACGAAATTCTTCTAAGTCAGCTAGAGGTGGACCGATTACTTCATGAACCTAAGGGAGGAGGACAGCTGTGAGCCAGAGATGGAGGGCAGGAAGAGAAGGGGCCTGGGCCTCTTGGGCCTCTATGTGAAGGATAGATCCCCTTTTGTTATGGCGGCTCTGCTGCCTGGGACCTGTGTTACACACAGCTGGGACAAGACCTAGAGACTCATCTGTTTGAGCAGCCACCATGTCCCCTACCATCATACCTGGCATCAGTGGGCACCTGGCAAACATCTTTAAAATAAACAAGGAATTCATTGAAACCTTAAAACAAATGAACAAAAGTATGCCCTGAGGTGACAGTAATGGATCGCATTAGGGATTCTGGAAACCCCCTTATCTATGGGGAGAACCGCTCCCTGCCAGTGTCAGCTACAGAGGTAGTGAGAAGTGGTAAGAGTAGTTCTGCTCTTTCCCAGGGAAGCCTCTTCTCCTCCCCATACCTCCCCCGCTCTGGGAGGTAACAGCTCCCAAGACTGCTGCAAGGGTGATGAGGATCTAAGTTTGCTTCCTATTCTCTCTGCGTCTCTTTCCTCATTTGGTAGAGAAGAGCTGGCAATGTGAACTCTGAGGAACCCATGGTAGTCACTCCCGCTCTTTCTGATCTTCCCAGGAGAACTCTCCAGAGCAGCTTCCCTGGAGTTACCGAGAGAAGACCCACTTTGGTCACCTGGACCAGGACCTGATTGAAGAGCTGGTTAGTCGATGTCGGAGAAAGCCATTTGCCTTGGTCTGTGGCTCCCCCAAGTTTACCGAGGACATGGCCAAGTGCTTGCTGTGTGCAGGCCTGACTAAGGACTCCTACTTTCTCTTCTAGCCCGGATCTCCTTTCCAAAGCCTGACCAGGGGCCTGTTGCAGGGACACGGGAAGAATCTCAGACTAGAATCAGAAGTCATGGCATCCAGGCATGGCCCTGCTGCTCACTTGCCATGTAACCTTAGGCAAATGTCTTCATCTCTTAGGATTTCTGTTTCTACACTATAGGGTTAAGCATTTCTTCCTGGCATCCTGCTGTGTGGAACAAGGGCTGTGGGAGCCCTGATTGGTAAGCATCCAGCCTTAGAGTCAGGGGGACTCCTCCAAGGAAGCCAAGTCTAGGATAAGTAGCAGTTGGGCAGGAGAAGTGGGGAGCTGCCCTGGTTCTTCCAATTAGAAGGCCCTTTAGGAGCTCCAACAGTGGTGTTCATGCCAGCTCAGAACCCTAGGTTTAAACCCTCTAAACCTTCTGTGTTTAGAGAATGACCCCAGCAGAAGCTAAATGCTCTCTGGACAAGGACCATAATTTATGTACCTTGTGCACTGAAGGCCTTGGATTCTGACTTGCCAGCATTCTTGGAGCAAGGCATTACCCTGGATGACCTCTGTATTGGCTCCAAACATGTCCCACTGCAAGCAGCTTTGCACTCAATCTCCTTTCTCTGGCTCTAGAGTCTGGGCAGCCCAGAGCCCTTTCTGTAGCTTAAGAAGAGGCCTAGAGGCAGACACCTTCCCTCTTCCCGCAGGTGGCTGGCTCAGCCTGTGCCTTCAGCTGGGTGCCCTGGTTACGGTTGCTAAGGAGATCTAAAGATAGAGCAGGAGACCTGGGTCCCTCTCTCAGCTCTGCCCACAGTGGTTGCTGATCCAGTTCCCCCAGCCCTCCCCATCCCACTCCCTCCATCCTGCAGAGGGCGTGCCCTCTCCAGGGAGCCTGGTGCCCCTGGGCAGTGCACTGCACTTAATATAATTCTGCTTTTTTCAGCCTGGGTTCCAGTGTGCTGCATCAGCACTGGCTGGCTACGGGCCATCCCCAAAATTGGAATTCTAAGCAGTGGAATCTTAGCCATGGGACATTAAGAGCTAGGTTTTTGCAGTCATAAATTTCTGGTCCTCATATCAAAGCTGAAAGTATAGGATGCTAGAAAACATCTAGTCCAACAGAGTGATATAAATGGGGAAGTCAAGGCCCAGTAAGGCCAAATGACTTGCCCAAGGCGAAAGAGTTAACAGGAGAGCTGGCACCACACATTTCCTAATTTCAACCCTGTGCTCATAGTTCTCCACCAGTGGTTTTCAAAATGGGCTCCACAGGGCTCTTGCATGGATGACAGCAGTGAAAAGATGGCCAGAGGATCTCCAGGCCCCACTTCAGCCAGAAGAGTTCTATTTTTATCCTATTTGTATACTGGGGTGTGGAGTAATTTTGTCAGAAAGGATTTTCCTGTTCCCCCCCCCAAAAAAGTTACAACAAATGTGCTGTGCCATGTTCACCAAATAGTCATGATAAGCAACAGAAGGACATGCAAAGGGTTCACACTGTTCCACAGGAAGGGATTCTGTGCTAGATGGAGGAAGGGTTGCTGGATGTGACCTTCTCCAAGACCATACGCATGTGAGCATATTAAAGGCTTTGAGAAGACTACGGGTTTCATTTGGTTTAACCCAGAGTTTCTCAGGCATTTTCCTCTAGAACACTTCTGTAGGGCCAGGCTCCCTCCAGCACAGTGCAATGAAAGGAAAAGGCCCTGATAGAGCTCCCAAGTAGGGACTGTTGATCTCCTGCTTGACCTGTGCCTGGGGCAAGACACTTTCCCTCCTTCAGGGCCCCTGTAACCTCTTGCCAGTGTCCTTGTCCTGCCCTCTGCCAGTACATCCTGTGGACTCTACTTGAAGGGTTTTTGGAGGCAATTATGAGCCTGACTCTGTTCTAGATACTTAGGAAACAACAGTGGGCAAGTGCTGCCTTCCTGTCAAGGAGCTCCAGCCTAGCCAGGAAGGTAGGGGTTAAACTTGTAGATCTGAAAAAATGGAGTGTGGAGTAGGACTAGAAATAAGCTAGTTCTAGGGCTTTACCTAACCTAGGGAAGGCCAGGGACATGCCACTGTGCCCCTGTGGATGGAGAGTACGCTCACTCATAACTAGGGGTGGAGTGGGGGTCCTCACTTAGAGAGTAAAGGTCTGGGTCAGTTTCTTCATATTTTTCTTTGTGCCATTTTAGAGATTTGATATTTAGGTATTAGACAAGGTCACCTCATGGTTAACAGCCCCTCTTGTCCTAGAGTTGTCATCCTTCCCCTCCCTCCACATAGAGTCTGTGTAGTCTGGCTGCTGGCGGGATCACTTGTCAGGGACATTGGTGAGGACCTAGCCATGCCTTTGGTGCCAAGATCAGAAGGACTCCTGTCATCAGATACTTGAGAGCTTGTGTCTGGGTGTTGTGCCTTGCAGGGTGCCTAGTGAGCCCCAGAAGAGGAGGAGTGGTTAAGATGTGTGAAAACAGACCTCTTGGGATTTGGGATGAGACTCTGGGCAGCTGGTCCATCCCTCCCATCTCCTGCTGGTACCTTATGTAGGCCATCGGGGAAGTGCTGTGGGTGGTGGCCACTGTGTGATATTGCAGTGGTAGAAGGAGACTTAGGAGCTGGACATGACCAAAAGGCATCAGGAAATCAACAAAGTGACAACAGTTCTGTGATCAGATAGGTCTTGGACTTATTCTAGGCCCAGGCTGTCCCCTTTGGGCCCTGCTCTACACTAATCAGACTGATTTTCCTAACGTGCAAATTCATGCCTATCACTGTCCTACTTAAAGTCTTTCCATGGTTCCTTGTTACCTTCAGGACATGGCATCTCAGCTTTGCTCACCTCTCCAGACCTGTCCTGTGCTGCCACCTGCTCTGTACCCACCTCTTATACTCCATACGTGTTCTCTGGTATCATTGCTCCCTTCACACTTACTGCTCCCTTTGCCTGGCCAGCCTCTTGATTCCAGTCTCCCACTCTCATTTTTTACCTCCTTATCCTCTGAGCTCCTGGTTCAGTGTCTCTTCTTTGGGAATCCTTGCTGCCTCTTCCACCCCAGTCTGGAGCAGTGAGCAGAGACTCTTGAGTTCTTCCATTGCCACACCCATCAGACTGAGCACAGCAAGGGCCCTGCATAGCCCAGTCCACTGCTTCCCCAGCAGAGAGGGCGCGCAGTACATCCTGAAGGTCAAATACTTGAGTGATAAGCAATATTCATGGAGCAAGTGACAGGTGGCAGAATGCTTTTCATATTCATTGAAGCACAGAATCTTAACAAATATTTATGCTATTTTATTACCCCAATTTACAGATGAAGAAACTAAGCTTCCAAGTCATTGAGCAATTCTCCAAGGTCATGTAGGCAACGCAAGTTCCAACCTGTGGTGATTGTTGTAAAGGTTATATATGACACATGAATGCACCTGGAGATGTGTATAAAGATTTTTATTGCTGCACTGTTCAAAACAGCAAAAACTAAAAATTGTATGTCCATGAAGAAGAGAAAAAATGAACAGTTCCTCTTTTTCATTTGGTGCTGGGGATTGACCCCAGAGCCTCACGTGTGCTAAGCACACTCTGTCACTGAGCCACACCACAGCCCCAACAAATTGTTCTTATTCATCCAGTGGAACATCAGACAGCAGTTAAAATGAATGAACTAGACATCTGTCAACATAGACTAAATCCTAAAAACACCATAATGATGTGAATTGCATGTTGTGAAAGGATAGGTACAGTGAGACACCTGTACTTAGAAATTGTTAAAACCCAAAGTAATGCTGCCTTTTGAGTTGAGGAACCAGCTGCAAGCATGAGGCTGGCTCTGGTGATGGACAGAGGAGTTGGGTGGGGTCTCGGGCTGCATCTGTACTTGTATTATATTAAAAACATTTGAAATGAACATTGCAAAATGTGAACTGGTTAATCTGGGCAATGGGTTCACTGATATCTGCTAATATTTTCTATTTTGTTTTGTTTTAAATAATTCTATAATTAAAGATCTCTTAATATTTTTTTTTAGTAGTAGATGGACACAATACCTTTATTTGTTTTTATTTTTTGTGGTGCTAGGGATCGAACCCAGTGCCTCAAGCATGCCAGGCAAGTGCTCTACCACTGAGCCACTGCCCTGACCCTTAAAGATCTTTTTAAAAATATCGAATGTGGGCTGGAGTCATGGCTCAGTGGTAGAGCGCTTGCCTGGCATGTGTGAGGCCCTGAGTTCGATCCTTAGCACTGCATATAAATAAATAAAAGATCCATTGACAACTAAAAAATATTTAAAAAAAAATCAAATGTGAACCAGGCATGGTGGCGGGGCATAAGCCTATAATCCTGGTAACTTGAAACTGAGGCAAGAGGATCATGAGTTCCAGGCCAGGCTCAGCAACTTAGTGATCCTGTTTCAAAAAATGAAATGGACTGGGGATGTAGCTCAGTGGTAAACTGCACCAGAGTTCAATCCCCAGTTTAAAGTGTGTGTGTGTGTGTGTGTGTAATCTCAAAATGTGATTTTGACCCCCAATTGCAACGCTCTTCACAAACTATGGGCTTACAAACATCCACTCCCTCTCTCCCACCTCACACAGGTTATTCCCTTTATGCTTCAGTCATTCATTCAAGACTGTGAGCTTGTACCATGCCAGGCCCTCTTCTAGATGTCAGGGACCCAGCAAGAAGGAGTATAAATCATTCCCAGCACTCCTGCTGACTGGGTGTTCCTTCTGCTTGGACATCTTCTTTTTCCCATAAACTTAACCCATAATGATTTGCCAGACACCACTGTTGTAGGCTTTTCCCTCTCCTCCTTTTTTTTTGGGCGGGGGGTGGGGGGTATTTTGTTTTTCCATTTAAATGAAGCAGACCAAGTTCAAGCCTCTCACTGATTCTGTGCTGTGACCCACAAGAACTAACTGGGCTTCTCTGAGTCTGAGTTTGCTCTATAAGATGGTGGAAGGTAGCACCCTCTCCCAGGTTATCTGTCCTTCATCCCAGTGAGGATGAGGGATACATGTGTGCACCTAAGCACAGCACCTTGCTGTGAGGCTACTCTTGAGTGGCCTTACCCAACAGCACTTGGTTCATGACTGATGGCATTTATTCCTACTTTTTATTGTCCAGAATTTCCCATCCCAGCAGGGTGCCACGTGCCTGTAGTCCCAGCTGTTCAGGAGGCTGAGGCAGGAGGATCACTTGAACCTAAGGGTTCAAGGTCAGCCTGGGAAACATAACAAGACCCTGATTCAAATGAAGAAAAAACTCCTCTTTTTATTATTTTCCCCATGCTTTGGAAGATTTTGATCCCAAATTGCAAGTATTAAGTCATTATTAATTTATCTCCCATTTTTTATTAATCAAAGACATAGATAGCTTCGGCTCAGAGCTTCTGATCTGCACACCCAGCTGGGAGCTGCGCGTGGCTGACATGATCCCAGCCAGAGGCAGAGGCGGCAACAGCGTGTGTGGTCTGGCAGCTTGCCGAGGGGTCGGGGGAGATGCACCTTGCTCCCTTTCTTTTTAGTTGGCGAAGGATCAGGGAAGCTGCTGTCCTTGCTAGGTGGCTGCTACACACACAGGTGGTCACTGACTAGTGGGCTAGGAACTGAGTTTCCATGCCAGGCCTTATTATGGGACCCCATGTGGATCCCAGGCCCTCACCCCACGAGGCTCATTCTAAATAAATGGCATGCACCAATGCCACGCAGAAGAGCGTGGAGTTCACATAGTGGGAGGTGGCAAATCAGTCTGCATGTGGGTCCCACAGGCTCTGGCTGGCGACCACCACACCATCATGCCCCTTACTCCCAATGCTGACAGAACACACTACTTATAGCGGGGTGGGGTGATGTCCTTGACCAGGTCCCTGATCTCAGCACTCAGAATGGCAGCCAGGTAGGCACACTGGCCTGGATGGTAGGCCACACCAGCCAACTTGGAGGGCAGGTGGGCCTGCATCAGCTCCTCTGCCTGGACACAGGGGAACTTCACCTCTGGCCTGGCTGACCATGAGGGAACCTGGAAGGAGGAGAGGAAGGGGGTGAGGGGGTGTATTTGCAACAAACAGAATTTGAGGTCAAATATGCTGGACATAGACCCCTGAGTTGGAGCATATGATTTGGAACCCTGGTATGGAAAATGCAATGCAGAATCGAAACACAAGAAAACAGCTTTATAAACTGCATAGTGCTGTGTGGATGGCAGAGATTAATCCAGTTTTCAGTCTATAAAAAAAAGTGCCTTGGGGCCCACAACCTGGCCCTCTCACTCTTGTTATACCCACAGGCTGCTGGCCCATACTTGCTCCTGGATGGTGCAGATTGGTGGACGGTGATGCAGTTCCAGTTGTGTCCTCGTAGATGTCTGGTTCTGTAAAAATATGGACAAGCATTGAGGTGAACATTTGCTGAATGTCGACTGCTGGGTTTGTCCTAAAGGTGACTCTGAGCAAGGATTTGGGTACAAGAAGTTTATATGGGAGGTGACTCAGGGAAACATGGTGAGACAGTTGGGAAGGAGAGATGATAAAGGGTGTGGGTGGGCAGGTTACCCCTGGCAGCAACTGGAGATCTTCCTGCTGTGGTCCATGCAAAAGACAGTGGAACACACCTCAGAATCATGCCACTGAGGGACAAGGAAGCTGGGCATTTATCCACCACAAGCCTTACTGGCTGAACAGGCATGTTTGGCCTCTCCTGAGTGGCCTCAGTGTTGGCAGCCTGAAAAACCCTCAGGTAAGAAACCTGGAACTAGCAAGGCACATGGAAACTTCTGGCAGGTGCTTCCAGGGTGGGCAGGGGTACAGGTGGCAAATCAACAGCATTCCGTACATGATCTCCCTTAATGCTTAGTCTTTAGGGATCAGTAGCAAAGAAATAGATGTTGGAGAGGTAAAATAGTGAGAGGAGAAAATGGTGTTATTGCACGAGGCTGGGCTCAATACAGTGAGCCCCCCCCACGTATCCCCCCATCCAGCACAGTGGACAGTAAGTGTTGCCGTGGTGACTGACTGACGAATGAATAAAGAAGCTGATGGAATCCACAAGACCATGGATTAGCTACCACTCCTCTGTAAAATGAGGGTGCTAATTCCTTTCCTCCCAGGTGGCTTGGAGGAGTATAGAAGATTGCGTATGTAAAGTTGCTCAGCTGCCTTCCTCTGCCCCTCTGAGGAGACTGGGGGTCTTTACAAAGAGGCAAGCCTTCAGGCCCAGTTCAGTGGTTCTCTGAATCTCTGAGTAAATGGATCTTTTCCTCCAGGGACTCTCCAGAATCTGTCTATTGGCTCCTTCCACTAGCACTGAAGCCTGTCCCGGTTTCCCCCGTGCTAAAGCAGTAAAACACACAGTGGCCCACCTTACCTTCATGCTATTCCAGTATGTTCCTTCTATTTTTCTCTCTCTCACCTTCATATTTTCAGCCTATCCTTGGAGAGCTGCCCATAACCTGTACAGCCTCCACTCTCACCTCCCTCCACTTTTCACCCCACTTCCATCTGGCATGCACTCCTCTTCTACCGCAGCTGCCCCCGATAAGGTCCCTGGTGTCCAGAGGTCATTCTCAGCAGCATTTGAAGCTGTAGTCAGTTCCCTCCTTTCTGAGCCTGTTTCCTCCGTGAGATGGTAATTCCTACCTTCCCTGATGATTCTGAGGATTGCACGACTCATTCATTTGGGTATGGAGCAAATATGTCTAAACACCTGCTGTGTTTTCCGCTGGGTTCTCAAGGGCCTTGACTCCAGTGGTGTGCACCTCCTCCTGGGCTCTGCAAATGCTGTTACAGCAACGTGCAAAGTCTTGCACTCTCCCTGATGCACAGCAGACACTAGGTGAGTGCAGGGATCTGTCTTTTCTTTCTATTTCCTCTGGGCCTCAGCTTACACACCCAGAAAATGGGCAGAGGGGTGGGCTTGCTCTCTGAAGCCCTCTGCATCCCCCTGGCCTCTCTCCACTGGGCATACTTGCGCTCACCTTGAGCTCCTGTATGAGCCTTCGTGCAGCCAGGATGCCCCTGAGGCTGAGTGTGGGAGCTTTGGCCTTTGGACTTGTGGGAGCTCGGCTGGCCCCCCTTCTTGATGGAAGATCTGATGAGGAAGTACTGCTCCCCTGACCAGTTTGACGGGCAGCCTGGGGAGATAAGGGTGGGCCAAGTGGAGAAAGGAGGAAGCCAGGGCAGTTGGTGAAGGGGTCTGCAGGGTCTTGGTCTCAGTTACCTGCCACTGCAGACATCTATACCACCCTGAGTTTGCACCCCAATTCAGACCTCTTCTTCCTTTCCACAAATGGGGCTCCATGTGGGTAGAAGCAGCACCATGGTAAGAATATAGGCTCTTGGGGCTGGGGATGTGGCTCAAGCCGTAACGCGCTCACCTGGCATGCGCGGGGTGCTGGGTTTAATCCTCAGCACCACATAAAATATAACAAAGATGTTGTGTCCACCGAAAACTGAAAAATAAATATTAAAAAAAATTCTCTCTCTCGCTCTCTCTCTCTCTTTCTCTCCTCTCCTCTCCTCTCTTCTCTCTTCTCTCTCTCTTTAAAAAAAAAAAAAAAGAAGAAGAAGAATATAGGCTCTCAAGCTAGTCACATGGGAGGTTCAAACCTGAGCTCTGCCACTGAGCAGCTGTGTTATCTGGGGCAAATCACTTCACTTCTCTGAACTTTAGTTCCCATATTTGAAAACTGGGAATATTTTTATTCCTTTTCTCATTAGCTATTTGTTGCCCTCTTAACTCTGCACCACAGGCTGAAATATAGCACTGAACCTGTTAGGCCCATCTGGTGGCCCAGACCTGTTAGATCTCTGCTGTCCTGGTGTCCATGTGCTAGAAGATAATAACCAGCCAGGGGTGTCAACTAGGGTAGGACTGCCCACAAGTGGGTGTTTGCAAATATTGAGGGATACTAAGCCTCCTCAGCTGTGGGGATTAAATGAGATGAAGTGCATAAAGTTTCAAACCTGGCAGAGTAGGTGCTCAATAAATGTTTGTTAAAAGCAATGATCTCTGAACTCTACTCACCATACAATGAAGTGGAACTGATACTCCTTACCCTGTAAAGTTGTTATAAAGACTTTAAAGTTAATTTAAATGAATGTGTAAATACAGCTTATCACATGGACATGTCTCTTCTTCTAAACTCTTTACAAATATTAACTCATGATTCCCATTTGACAGATGAGGAGACGGAGGCATGGAGAGAAGTTTAAAGAATTTGCCCAAGGTCTCATAGCTTGGATATATGGCTGCATAAGAATGTGCCTGGAAATCAGTAGGAACTCAATGGTTGCTTTGATACCGCTGGTACCGGTATATGCTTCCCCACATGTTGAAGTTTGAAAGCTTCATTGTGGAGCAGGGAGTTTCCAGGCTTGGTGTCCAGTACAAGGCATGTTGAAAGGCTCTGCACAGAGCTGCTCTTGTCCCTGAGACCTGGTTGTGAATGAGCAGCTGAGGAATGGAGGATGAGAAGGGGAGAGGACAGGAAGCCCCAAGGGGTGAGAGCGGACAGCAAAACCTTCCAGACTGTCTGGAGGTCACAGTCCTGGAACGGGCATCCCAGCGGGCTCCTGTGGGTCAGGGAAGGGCACGGGGCAGTTTCCCTTATGTAACCATGGACTTCCTCTGCTGCACCTTGGCTTGTTAGCGGCTGGCCTGGCCAAAGAAGTAAGGCTAATTAGTCATCAAAGGAGGGGGAGGGGAGAGGCTGGGCCAGCCGGAGGCTTGCTTTGTGTGTCTCCTCACCCTCTCTGCCTTCTGGCCCTCTGCAAATCCTCTCTCTCAGGCTTCCCTGGTGACCCCATCTGGTGGCCCAGAGCTCCTGTTGCAGGCTGTGGGAGCCTGGGTAGCAACTTCTCCCCAGCTTCCCATTATGTGAGGTGGACAGTGCTGCGTCCTCAGAGGGCACAGTGAGCCTTAGATGAAGCAACTGTGCAGTGAGCTGGCAGAATCCCAGCTCAGGACATGTCCACTTGAGTCATCATCTCAGCTGCTGTCAGTGCTCAGCCACCTGCGAAAGCAGATCCCTGCCATGAGACAGCGCTGCATCATCAGTGCACCCCTTTCCTCCAGGATCATGCCGTTAATCCCCAGCAGTCCAATGAGGTAGGGTAAGACTAGGAACCCCACTTCACACATTGAAGAAACTGAGGCTCAAAGTGGGGAACAACTTGCCCAGGGTTACACAGCATATCAGATGTGGAACGAGGATCCAAATCTGGGGAGATTCAAACCCAAACCTTTACTCAAATATAGGTGAGAGCAATGGCCCCTTGCTGGAGGGGTAGCTTCCCTCTGAAGGGGCCTATTTTCTGCCTGACTCCCCAAGCTCCTGCCAGTCCCAGGACTGCAGGACCCAGCTCTGCCCAGCCCCAGCTCTAGGAGCTGGTCTTTTCGGGTGCTGGGCCTTAGTTTTCTCATCTGTGACATGGAAACAGGACCTCCTTCCCTGCAGGGTGGAGTCTCAGTGAACAAGGGTGCAGAGCTGGGGTGGGGGTCTGCAGATGGCAGCGATTCCAGCCCCCTCCTTACTTTCTTCTCAACTGCCCAGGAATTGGAGGCCAAGAAGGTCACGCCCTTGTCCGGGGGCTCTTTGGAACGCTTGTCCTTGGCCCATCTGGACTTCTGGGATGTCATTCCTGATGTGGTTTCCACACCCCAGCCTCTGGGATCAGGAACAGGACAGAGTGACTGCCAGAGAACAAAAATAGAGACTCAGAGAGGATGTGGCCTCTTAGCCCTGGGGTGAGGGTTGGCTCCCAGAGGTACAAGGACCCAGCCAAACCCCATAAGCCACCTTCCATCACCTGGGGACCCCAGCCCACCCCATCACCTCCCTTGCTGCCAGCTTCCCCCTTTCTCTTGAATCTGTCGCTTCTCTTTCCTGTGTTCCATTCCTCGTCTCCTTCCCCTCCTCCGTCGTCCAGGGACACCCCAAGCCCTGCATATACACTTTCCCATGGTGTGGACCCCGTGACTTCCTAACAGGCTCCAGTGTAAGTGTGGGGTGTGACATGCCCTCACCAGGCAGGGCCGGACCCCACTGACTTCAGGGAGCTGAAGGTGGAAGCTGCTCCATGTTCCTACCTCCTGGCATCTGCCCCAGGGCCACACTCAGGGGACATTCTCCAAGTTTCCCCTGATCTTTAGTAAGAGGGAGATGTGGTTCTTGGGACCCAGCCAGGAGTCCCCAGGGGTGGACACACCTCCCTGGCCCTGTCCTCTGCCAAGTCCTCACGACTGGCCCAGGGAACAGGGAAGGCACCATCCTTGTACCCAGAAATCAGTGACAGATACAAAATGAAGACAGAACTGATGCAGAGAGGAACCCCTGTTATAGACATCCACTCCCAGAGATCCATGCTGACATCTAGGGGTGCTGATGTGCAGCCCTGAGCTGTGTAAGAGTGTGCTGTCATAGCTACATGCACCAGGCACAGATGTGCACACCCAGAGACACAGATCTGTACAGCAGCAGAAGCTGCATCCCCGTGGGACTACGTGTGCCTATGG